TCAACCTGATAGTGATGGGATTTTTTTTCCAGCAGAAGTAAGTATTATTAAATCTGAAGATACTGAAAAGCTGGAAAGGTAACTATAAGTTTTGAGTGATAGCATAAAGATTTTAAATAAGCTGGAACGATGGATAAGACTAACATGAAGCAATTCAGTAGAAATAAGTAAAATGTCTGAATTTATTACTTGGTTAAAAACCAGCTATACAAATTATAAGATAGACAATGTAGGGAGAAGACTTTTGAATATTTAATTGATTTAATTGGCTACAAGATCAATAAAAACCAATAGTGTGGGAGGCAGAGACAAGATGGCATCTTAGAGATACATTCCATCTAATCCCTCTACAACAGACACACAGAAAAACCTAAGTGAAATAGATACAAATAACAATCCTGGAACTCTGAGCAGCAAATGAAGGGATAAATAATTAGATTGAGCACTCATTGGAAAGGCAGACACAGCAATGACTAGGAAGAGAGAGGAAGCCAGGACCCAATGAAACATGGTCATTTTGAGACACAGAAGGGCATTATACTCAGGTGATGAGAAGCCAACTTCATGGAATACACACTGGGACAGAGACACGGTGTGGACAGATTTGGAGGGAATCAAGGTGAGCAGAGTATATGCTGGATTTGGGAGAAGACCATGCAGGAAAACAAGTGAGACTTCCAGTGGCACAGGCAATTTCAGAGCAAGGAGGGAGCCAGTGAAAGAAGAAACAACTCACTACTAGTGAAAACGAACCATTTAGGTTGAGCGCTCACACAAAGGGGAAGGCCTACGGGATGGCAGTTGAAGTTGCTGGACTCCCAGCAGCCCCCCAGTTGACTAAGTCTGGGAAGGAGTTGGATATCAGCTGTGCATGCTTAGAAAGACACCCAACTCAAACCAGTGAGTTCCAATGAGAGAGATGCTTCTCCACTCTACAAAATATACCTTCCTGGTGACTAGGGGTGAGCCTGCTTCACACCCCCACCAACTCAGTGGCTAAGGATGCCCCTCGAGCAGTCCCCTACTTGCCCAGTTTCTCAGCCACCTCCTTAGCAGCCCAGTCATGCATCACAATGTGCCCCAAGCAGACAGAGCCAGTGCCTGTAATTCTGCATCCCTGTGCCTGGGTCACTGACAGGTTTTGCCTCCACTGAACACAAGACATGTGAAATTGCAGCCTCCTCTAAGAGAAAATCACCGAGACATAACATAATCAAACGTTCCAAAACCAAAGACAAAAAAAAAAAAAAAAATCTTGAGAGTAGTTCAGGAAAAACAAAATGTGACCTACAAAGAGCAACCAGTAAGACATAGCTCTGATTTCTCAGCAGAAACCATGCAGGCAAGAAGGAAATGGGATGACATGTATAAAACCTTGAAAGAAAAAACTGCCAAACAAGAATTATATACCTAGCAAAATGTCCCTCAAATGCAATGATGAAATTAGGACATTTCCAGATAAACAGAAATTAAAGGAATTTGTAAAAACCAGATCAATCTTACTAGAAATGCTAAAGGGAGTCCTTCAGACAGAAAACCAGTAATGGAAGGCAACCACCTAAAATTAAGACACATGATAACATCACCCAGGAACAAACCCAGAGAAAGAATTCTCAAAACTAAAATTAGCTTCCAAATCTGAAAATAGAGAACAAAAGGCACCAATCTGTAAATGAAAACAACTACAAAGCATAAAACAGGAATAAAAGGTATAGTTACAGAGCTTCCAAATGGAGAGGAAGTCAGGACAATATTAATATAGAACAAACTATTCTAAATTAGGTAGATAAAATTAACTACAGGGTAACCACAAAGAAAATTAATAAGCCTTCTAACCAAAAGAAGAAAGAAGAAAATCACATGGACTTAGTAAATACAAAATCAACAACAATGAAGGAAATAATAAGAAAACACAATAACAAAATGAATTCAACACAGAAAAAAAATATTCAGAACAAGGAAACTATTAATAACTCAATATAAAACACAAAACAATGACAACACTCAATTCATACCTATCATTAATTACAGTGAATGTGAATGGGTTAAATGAACCAGTCAAGAGAAAAAGAGTGGCAGAATGGATAAGAAAACAAGACCCATTGATATGCTGTCTACAAGAGAGTCACCTTAGATACAAAAAAAAAAAAATTAAAAATCAAAGAATGGACTGTACAGACACCAGTGATAAAAAATACCTGCAGTCCATACAGAAACAATAGAAGACAGACACAGATTAATCTCTCACAGACATCCCGACACTATGGGAGAGAGATCTAATAGAGCTACTACCTCAGGACCATAGTACTGGGGTACACCAGACTCAATTGGCACAACAAAATGCATAAAAGCGTTGCTCCACATTCTACATTGGTGAGTAGTGATTGGGGTCTTAAAAGCTTTCATGCAGCCATCTAAGATGCAGCTAATGGTCTCCCAGCGTCAGAAGTGAAGAACGCCAAAAAAAAAAAAAAAGAAAAGAAAACAAGGGCATTTAGAAGCAATCAGCCCTAGGACACTATGGCCCTTGAGACCAGAAGAACTGGATGGTGCCTGGCTACCAATGCCAACCACTCAAGAAAGGATCAAATCTGGAGATCCTGGACAGAGTGGGAGGGAAAACGTGGAACAAAATCCAAAAACTCAATAATGACCAGAATTACTGGTCAGATGAAATCTGGTGAGACTATGGCCTGAATATACTAATATATAATAATACTATGGCCCTGAAATACATTCGGTGCCTAGAATAAAACTCACCTCTAGGGGCGGGCTCTCAGCCCAATAGTTAACAAGACGTACATGCAGACCACTCAACCCAGGATGCCGCACCCACACACTCAATGGTAATACATCCCTTAGAGCAATAGACCATGGGACACCAAAGGATCACCATTCAAACTGAGGAAATGCAGGACCAACAGGAGTGCATAATTATGAGGAACACAGGAGGAGGGTTGCAGGGTAGGGAGGGGAGGAGACTGGGTTAGGGTTGGACATGGCGAATGGAGAATGAAACTAAATGTACACATGACGTTGAATGTAAAACAAGCTCTTAAAATAAAAATTTAAAAAAAAAAAAGGATGGAAAAAAATATATCAAGCTAATGGCTACCAAAAAGGAACAGGAGTAGCAATATTAATTTCTGACAAAATAGACTTCACAGCAAAAACTAGCATAATGGACAAGGAAGAACATTATATAATGATTTAAAAATGTCAATCCAGCAAGAGGACATAAGCACAATAAATATCTATGTACCTAATGAAAGAACCCCAAATACATAAAGTAAACATTAACTGAATTGAAAACAGAAATATCTTCTACAATAGCTGTAGACTTTAACACACCACTTTCAGGGAAGGACAGAATAAGTAGAAAGAAATTCAACAAAGATACAGAAGATCTCAACAATGTCAACAACTTGACCTTGTAGACATAACAGAACACTCCACCCAACTAAAATGCAGTACACATTCTTTTCCAGTGCAAATGGATCATTCTTCAGAATATATCATATATTAGGCCACAAAGCAAGTCTTAATACATTTTAAAAAATAGGAAATACTACAAAGCTTCTTCTTGGATCACAACGCTATAAAATTTGAAATCAACAATAGGAAGATCAGGGGGAAAAATCAACATGGAAGTTGAGTAACACCCTGTTCAAAACTGTTGGGTAACAGAAAAAATAAAATGTGAAATAAAAAAAAATTCCTAGAAGCAAATGAGAATGAAAACACAACATACCAAAACCTTTGGGATACAGTGAAAGCAGTACACAGAAGTCAATTTATAGCAATAGATGCACACATCAAAAAAGAAGTAAAAAACAAAGTCAATACCTTAACCTAACAACTCTAACAACTAGAAAAGAGAAACAAAAAAGTCCACAGTCTCCAGAAAAATGAAATAATAAATATTAGAACAGAAATAAATGAAACAGAAATATAGAAAGAATAGCAAGGTTAGAAGTTGGTTCTTCAAAAACATTAACAGATGTGTCAAATTACTGGCAAATATAACTAAGGAAAAGAAAGAGAAGATACAAATAACACAAATAGTAAATGAAATGGGCACTGTCACAACAGAATCAAAGGAAATAAAAAAGATGATGACAGAATACAATGAAGAACAAACAGTACCCCAATAAATTTCAAAACCTCCAACACATGGACAAATTTCTAGAAACACATGACCTACATAAACTTACATAGACTGGAGGCAGAAAACTTAAGCAGGGTCATAACAAAAGAAGAACTAGAATACATCATTAAAAGAAAAGAAAGAAAGAAAAACAACTTCTTAACAAAATAAAAATCCTGACCCTGAAGACTTTACTGGAGAATTCTACCAAATATTCAGAGAAAACTGACACTAATCTTACTCAAACTATTCTAGAACTTAGAAAAAGATAGAATTCTCCCAAATTCATTTTATGAAGCAGCATAACCCTGATATTAAAGCCAGGCAAAGATACCACTAAAAAAGAAAATTGAAGACCAATATCCCTCATGAATATGGACACAAAAATCTTTAACAACATCCTAGCCAATAAAATCCAACACTACATCAACAAAAATCATACATCATGACCAAGTGGGATTCATACAAGGTATGCAAGGATGGTTCTACATTAGAAAAACAATCAATGTAATCCACCACATAAATAAAGGAAAGGAAAAGGACCACAAGGCCATATTAATGGATTTAGAAAAGGCATTTGACAAAATCCAACCCTTGTTCCTAATAAAAGCTCAGCAAAATAGGAATAGAAGGGGAAATGTCTTGACATAATAAGGGCTTATATACAAAATGTCTATAGTAGAATTTTCTTCCAATTTAAAAGATGCAAATGGGAAAGTGAAAAGAAAAGTGTTCACTATTGTCTATCTTCTATTTTCAATATAAAAAGTGAAGATGACTCCAGGTCAACAAAATTTGTCAATGATTCTCTTCCTTGAACCCCTAAAGGAAATATTATAATGACATAACTTACCCACTTGGCACTATTCACTGTCATGAATCGAAGAGTGTAGTTTAAACCTGTTGACCTAGGTGCCAGTTGAGGCCTTCTCCACATTATTTGAACCATTCGTTTGACACCCAAAACTGGTTTCACATAGTAAATCTCAGGTGGTTCAATTTTCACTGAAAATAAAAATCATATATTTCTTATATTTCCAAAAAGATGAGAAGGTCCTAATAAGGTCCACCCAAAACTGAAAGAAAGGGAAAAAAAAAAAAAAAAAAAACCTAGATATGAAATGACAGTGCATTTGTTGTGGTTCACCATATACAGATAGCATTAGGAAGGCAGTATTAAAAAAAAAAAAAAGTGTGCCCAATGATGACAAGATACATTCCTGCAATTTTTTCTGCAAATTAGCCTTTTCCTTTTAGATCCGATTCTAGGCCAAGAAGGAAGAAAGAAGAGGAAACCATAGGACTTCATCAAAATAAAAACTTTTGTGCTTCAAAAGATCCATCAATTTGGTCAATATGCCTTGTCTTCCTTTCCCGTTGTCCCTTTCTTCCTTCCTTCTTTAATAAGAAAAAAATTTTTTGAATATCCATAAAACACACAACCCTATCATATCCCTGAGCTTTGATTATAGTTTTGAGTCCACAGATAACATCCTTTTTTAAAAAACAGATACCTTTTAATAAAAGATTGCATAGGTGTATCAAATAATACTTACCTATGTTATCTAAATTCCACTGTGTCCTATCAGACTTAACTTTACCATCTGCATTTTCAGCTTCCACTTCAATGCTGCAATTATCTGGGTATGTGACGTTTGGATAGAAAAAAGAACATGAAGCACGATTTTCAATTCTACATAACTCATGTTCTCCTCCATAACAGCTTTGAAGAAAAAAGTGATTCAACATTAGTTTTATACAGCAGTTTGGAAACACAGCTACACTTAATGTATTAAGCATATTATGTGTTAGTTACACCTGGGTTTCTCTGAGAACTGTATAGTTCAGGATCTGGGGCTTCTCTCTCCAATTTCCTCCCTCACCTCCAAGGAGAAAGAAATTTCCTGCTGCTTGTCAATTTGAGATGTTATAAGCCATGGAGCCTCCAGTGAGCCTATCAAAAGCTACACTGGCTACACATATTAGCAAGAAATAACCAACAGATCCCAGAGAATCCCAGAATCTAGCCTTGAGAATTCTTAAAAGAAAAATAAAAGATTCAAAAAGAATTCATTGAATAATTATGGTAGAATTTTTTTCACTGTTAGCATATATTAGTTTTAGAAAATGCATTAAAAGCTATCTTTCTAAAGAAATACTTAAATGCTGCTGAGCTTCAGTGTAATGAAAACAAGTGCACATATTACTAAGAATCAGATGGATAGGGATAGTCCACATGGCCTTGGGGACAGCGGATGTGATGGAAGGACTGACAATAGGAAAGGGGCCCACCAGGCAGAGTGCTGGTGTTTGCTGGAGCAGGCAGAGGTTAATGGAGCTTAGACACATGGAATCTTGAAACCAAAAAGGACCTCAAAGGTTTCCTAGGGTTACCAGCAGTGCAAAAACGGCCCCCTGGGTAATGTTGTACAGTGGTTCCAAGCATGGGCAAAGGAAGCCAGTTAGGTTTGAATCTTGGTTTTGCTCTTTATTAACCCCTTGCAAATATTTTACCTCCCTGTGCCTTAGTTTTCACATCTATAAAATTAAGATAGGAATATGCCTATAACAGGGTTGTCATGAGGGTTAAATGAGCTAATACTATATACGTAAACCAAAAAACCAAAAACACTGCTGTCAAGTCAGACCCGACTCATAGCAACCCCTCCTTGGGTTTCCAAGGCTGTATCTCTACGGAAGTAGATTGCCCAATCTTCCTTCCAAGGAATGGCTGGTGGATTTGAACCACCAGCCTTCTGGTTAGCAGTCAAGTGCCTGAGGCACTATGCTACCAGAGCTCCTAAAGCTCTTTTAAAATGGCAGGCACACAATAAGTAGTTAATAAATGTGAGATTTTATTATTATTATTATTACTGTTACTATAGTTGAATAGTTTTGTGTTTGTTGATTCTGTAACCTTGAGAAATGCCCGTTCTCCCCTTCCCTATACCTGCTGTTCTCCTTCAGTCTCAGTTGAAAAGCCATCTTCTCCATGGCACTATAAATTCCTGTGGTCTTGAGCATCAGTAGTTTTTTGTTCATAACATTAACCTACCTTAATATGCTCTCAGGATAGACTATCCACAAGGAAATCCTACTATTCTACTTAGAGGAGATATTCTAGATGATAAACTCACAAAAATATGAGCCCATCTAGGAATACTAGAAGTTTAGGCAGCCCTGGGGCCACAAAGGGAAGCTGGGTATAATGGTTCCAGAGTATTCTATATGCCCAGCTGGTGATAATAACAGAGAGAGATGAAAGAGAAAACAGAAACTCAAGAAAGAACAATTAAGGTTTCCAGATTTTCACTGTTACTTTCATTGCTACTTCTTGTTTAACATTGGTCCTATAACTAACAAGTCTATGAAAAAGCAAGTCATTTGGACCATGTGTTTTGGGCTTTTATGGTTCTTTTTTTTTTTTTAATTTCTATTTCATTTTGGGTGACAGTTTACAGAGCAAATTCATTTTCCATACAGCAGTTTACATGCATTTTGTTTCATGATACTGATTCCCCACAATGTAACCGCCCTCTTCCTACCGCCCATAGTTACCTCTTCCCTGTGTTCTTTCCTACACATTCCTGCCCCCTGAGTATGGTTATTTTCTAAAGCAGAGGTCAGCAAACTATGACCTACAGGCCAGATATGGTGACCTCCTGTTTTTGTATGGCTCACAAGCTAAGAACGCTATTTACATTGTTAAATGGTTGAAAACACTAAAAAGAAGAATATTTTGTGGCATGTGAAAATTGTCTATAATTAAATTCTTATTGGAACACAGTCATACCCATTCATTTATACACTATCTACAGCAGTTTCGTGCTCCAACAGTAGTGTTGTGCAGTTGAGTCTAAAATGTTTACTGCCTAGCCCTTTACAGAAAAAGTTTCCCCAACTCTATTTAAAGCATCTCTTTGCCACAGATATTTATTGATATATCAATGCTGTTAAGAATATTGTTAGCTTTTCCCTTTCTCCTGCTATAAAACATATGGTAGACTTTCCTTACTATACCAATTACCAATTTATGAGGAGTGGGGGTGGGAAACATAGAGTTTATACTTATCTTGTATTAAAAAAAAAAAAAGCTTGGAACCAACAATTCTCTTTGTTAAATAGAAAAAAGACTTAGAGATCATCTTATACTAGCTCCCAACACAGACTCCCTTATTCCTAGGGAACATGAAAGAAGTAATGGGTTTCATGAGCTATTTTCAGAATTTCAAAATATCTCTGCACAAACTCTCTAAGACATCCAGGTTTTGGCCAGGATTGTTAATAAATTAGAATAATAAAGGATCCTTGAGCTAGTGAAAAATTTGGCAATCATTGTTCTAGTAGTATACTGTTTGACAAAGATTACTTAACAAGTTAGTGGCAGATAGAGGTAATTTAGCTTCTTGGTGTTGAGTTCATCCCGCTTACTATATCTGCATATGTGAAGAATGAATCGTGGTATAACATATTCTGAAAAGAGGTGGAGTATAGTTGAACATAGTAAGGTAACAGATTTTTCTACTGTGTTTATAACTGGTCACTACACTCAGCCCATTGGGCAGTCCCAAAAGCAGGTCTTTGTATGACTGTATCTTCCCTCCCTCTGTGACAGCAGATCCTGTCGTCAGTATGGTGGAAATAACCAAGATGTCACCCTAGCCACCAGATGCAGTCCAAAGGTCACTCAGAAGCTGTACTTGAAAAAACATTTTACTTCCTAAGTCACTTGAATCATGAATGAACCAAAAGCCTCTGCCTCCTCTCTTTACCTCCACTGAGAGCACACAAGCTCCCCGTACTTACTTAGTTCTGTTAACTGTGTACCATGTGTCATGGGCCTCCTTTTCTGGATTCCAAGTGCAAGTTAAGTTTTTCTTATAGTAGAAGACACAGGAAATGTTCTCAGGCTTATGTGGCAAAGCTAAAAAGAAAAAAAAAAAATGATCACACAAACAATTTCAGTACATGATAAATATTGCCACCACAGAATATTTATTTTTATGAAAGCAGGTGAATCAAAAGCCAGATTTATTGGTTAGTTATTAGGTATAATTTATTATTGCTTTTGGGTGCCATCAAGTAGATTCTGGCTCATAGTCACCCTACAGGACAGAGTAGAACTGCCATGTGGGGTTTCCCATGTTGTTATTTTTACAGAAGCAGATCACTAGGTGTTTTCTCCTGCAGAGCCACAAGTGGGTTCAAACTGCTAACCTTTCGGTTAGTGGCCAAACTCTCTTCCCTATTTAGGTCTATGGAAGGTATCTAACTCAATTTCTTCAGTTATCCCCTTTGAAGAATTAGACTTCTACTTAAAAATAAACTTTCCATACTCTTACTCAAAAGCAACATTTGAGAAGCTGAAATTAAAGCTCCAGGCAATATAAAGTCTTAGTGAAATACTAAGTAAAGCATCAAATTGTAGAACAACTCTGGATAATTGGGTAGTGAATGATGTGAGAAAATGAGGAAAATACAATATACTGAACTATGCTATATGTAAACCTTACAAATCATTCGTTTCCAGAAAGGTGTACAATATAAGAAATTTCTGAAATATCTTTAGCTGCATTTTCCTATCTTGTAAATCTTGTTCATTCTGGTTCCCCACCCAATAGTATCAATTCCACCATTTTACAGAACAGAAATCTACAACTTTAAGGGGCCCATAGATGGAATTCAAGGGTCTATAAACTTACCAACTCCTGCAGTGTGAAAATGACCAAACATGCAAGCAAGATTATTGATAATTACTGGTTATTGGAATATGAAAGTTGGAAACAAAGAAGGAGGTAACTAGAAAGTATGACCTTGATAATAGAAACAATGTGGGAGATCACATGATAGAATCTTGCAAGACTAATGACTTATTCATTGCAAATACCCTTTTTCAACAACATAAATGGTGACTATACAAGTGAACCTCATCAGATGGAAAACATAGGAATCAAATCAAATACATTTGTGAAAAGAGACCATGGAAAGTTCAATATCATCAGTCAGAAAAAGGCCAGAGGCAAAACAGACCATCAATTGCTCTTATGAAAATTCAAGTTGAAGCTGAAGAAAATTAAAACAAATCCACAAGGGCCAAAATACAACATTGATAGTCTCCCACCTGAATTTAGAGACCTTCTGAAGAGTAGATTTGACACATTGAACACCGATGATCAAAGACCAGATGAGTTGTGGGATGACATCAAGAACAGCATTCATGAAGAAAGCAAAAGTTCATTAAAAAGACAGGAAATAAAGAAAAGACCAAAACTGATGTCAGAAGAGATTCTGAAACTTGCTCATGAATAGAGAGTAGCTAAAATGGATGGCTAAAATGGATGGAAGGAGCTCTGGTAGCATAGTGCCTAAGGCACTTGACTGCTAACCAGAAGGCTGGCGGTTCATACCCGCCAGCCACTCCTCGGTAGGAAGGTTGGGCATTCCTACTTCCATAGTGATACTGCCTCGGAAACCCAAGGAGGGGTCGCTATGAGTCGGGGCCGACTCGATGGCAAATAACAACAACAACAACAAATGGATGGAAGAAATGCTGAAGTAAAAGAGCTGAACAGAAGATTTCAAAGGGTGATTCAAGAAGACAAAGTATTATAATGAAATGTGTAAAGATTTAGAGTTAGAAAACCAAAAGAGAAGAACACTCTTGGCATGTCTCAAGCTGAAAGAACTGAAGAACATTCAAGCCTCGAATTGCAATATTGAAGGATTCTAATGGCAAAGTATTGAATAATGCAGGAAGCATCGAATGAAGATGGAAAGAATACAGAGTTACCTTAACAAAAAGAAATGGTTGATGTTTAACCATTTCAGGAGGTGGCACATGATCAAGAAATGATGGTATTAAAGGAAGAAGTTCAAGCTGCTCTGAAGGAATTAATGAAAAACAAGGCTCCAGAAATTGATGGAATGAATACCCATTGAAATATTTCAACAAAGGGATGCAGCATTGGAGGCACTCACGTATTCATGCCAACAAATTTGGAAAACAGCTATGTGGCCAACCACTGGAAAAGATCCATATTTGTTCCTATTCAAAAGAAAAGTGACCCAACAGGATGTGAAGATTATCAAACCATACCGCTAATATCACATGCAAGTAAAATTTTGCTGAAAATAATTCAAAACAGTTGCAGCAGTACATCCACAGGGAACTGCCAGAAATTCAAGCTGGATTAAGAAAAGGGCATGGAATAAGGAATATCATTGTTAATGTCAAATGAGTCTTGGCTGAAAGCAAAGAATACCAGAAAGATGTATGTTGCTTGTTGTTGTTAGGTGCTGTCGAGTTGCCTCCGACTCATAGTGACCCTATGCACAGCAGAACGAAACACTGTCCGGTCCCATGCCAGCTCCATGATCCTTGCTATACTTGAGCCCATCACTGCAGCCACTGTGTCATTCCATCTTGTTGAGGGCCTTCCCCTCTTTCATCGACTCTCCACTTTACCAAGCATGACACCCTTCTCCAGTGAATGGTCCCTTCTGACAACATGACCAAAGTAGAGAGACAAAGTCTGGCCATTCTCGCTTCCAAGGAGAATTCTGGCTGCACTTCCTCCAGGACAGATTTGTTAGTTCTTTTAGCAGTCCATGGTACTTTCAGCACTCTTCACCAGCACAACAACTCAAAAGCATCAACTTTCTTTGGTCTTCCTCATTCATTGTCCAGCTCTCACATGCATATGAGGTGATTGAAAATACCATGGCTTGGGTCAGGTGCACCTTAGTCCTCAAGAAGACATCTTTGCTCTTCAGCACTTGAGAGGTCCTTTGCAGCCAATATGCCCAGTGCTATACGTCGTCTGATGTCCTGACTGTTGCTTCCATTGGCATTGATTGTAGAACCAAGCAATGTGAAGTCTCTGACAACTTCAATCTTTTCTCCACTTATTGTGATGCTGCTTATAGGTCCAGTTGTGAGGATTTTTGTTTTCTTTATATTGAGCTGTAATCCATACTGTAGACTGTATTCTTCAATCTTCATCAGTAAGTGCCTCAAGTCATCCTCACTTTCAGCAAGCAAAGATGTGTGGTCAATGTATCACAGGTTGTTAGTGATTTTTCCTCCAATCCTGATGCCATGATCTTCTTCACATAGTCCACCTTCTCGGATTATCTGCTCAGCACACAGATTGAACAAGTATGGTGAAAGGATACAACACTGACACATTTCCTTCTTGATTCTAAACCATGCAGTGTCCTCTTTTTCTGTCAAATGACAACCTTCTGGTCTATGTACGGGTTCCTCATGAGTACAATCAAGTGTTCTGGAATTCCCATTCTTCTCAATGTTATACATAATTTGTTATGATCCACACAATCAAATGCTTTTGCATAGTCAGTATGAGCAGTTGATGGTCTATTCCACAATCAGCAACTGGCCTTATTTTGGCTAAAGATATTGAGCTTTTCCATCACCTCTTGCCACAGATGTAGTCAATCTGACTCCTGTGTACTCCATCTGGTGAAGTTCACTTGTATAGCCACCATTTGTGTTGTTGAAAAAAGGTATTTGCAATGAATAAGTCGTTGGTCTTGCAAAATTCTATCATGCAATCTCCAGTGTTATTTCTATCACCAAAGCCAAATTTTCCAACTATGGGTGCTTCTTCTTTGTTTCCAACTTTTGCATTCCAGTCACCTTTGATAATCAACACAATTGGCAGTTGTTTGAACAGAACAAGGGGATACTGCATGGTTTAAAATCAGAAAAGGTGTGTGTCAGCATTGTATCCTTTCACCATACTTATTCAATCTACATGCTGAGCTAATAATCCAAGAAGCTGGCCTGTATGAAGAAGAATGCAGAATCAGGATTAGAGGAAGACTCATTAACAGCCTGTGACATGCAGATGACACAACTTTGTTTGCTAAAAGTGAAGAAGACTTGAAGAAATTATTGATGAAGATCAAAGACTACAGCCTTCAGTATGATTACAGTTCAACATAAAGAAAACAAAAATCCTCACAACTGACCATAAGTAACATCATGATAAATGGAGACAAGAACGAAGTTATCAAGGATTTCATTTAGTTAGATCCATAATCAATGCCCATAGAAGCAGCAGGTAAGAAATCAAAAGATGTGTGTGTTGGGCAAATCTGTGTTAAAAAGCAAAGATGTCACTTTGAAGAGTAATGTGTGCCCAACCATACCATGGTATTTTCAGTAGCCTCATGTACATGTGAAACCTGGACAATGAATAAGAAAGACCACAGAAGAATTGATGCTTTGAATTGTGGTTGCAAAGAATGCTGAAAATATCATGGACTTCCAGAAGAATAAATAAATCTGTCTTGGAAGAAGTACAGCCAGCATGTTCCTTGGAAGCCGGAATGACCAGGCTTCGTCTTTTGTGTTTTGGTCATGTTGTTAGACGGGACCAGTCCCTGGAAAGGGATGTCATGCTTGGTAAAGTAGAGGGTCAGGGAAAAATGGGAAGAACTTCAATCAGATGGATTGACACAGTGGCTGTGACAGTGGGCTCCAGCATGGTAATGATTATGAGAATGGCACAGGACCAGGCAGTATTTTGTTTTGTTGTACCATAGTCTATAAGTCAGAACCAATTCAACAGCACCTAGCAACAGCAACATAAACTTAAATGGGAACTTACGTGATTGAAATTTAAATTTTCCTTGCATCAGGAACGTGGGCAACAAACTATAACGTTATCAGTACTTACAACTTTGTCACCGTTAAAAATCACAAATGTTTTCATACTACATTACAGCTGTTACAGATATGTTGAAATAGCAAGTACTAGTGTTACTATTTTTCAGTTAAGGTAATTATTAGAACTAATTATTATTAGACCTAATCTAAGGTCATTTTTAGGTCTTGTTATCTAATGTGTTAACAAAGAAGCACATATATTACTATGTCACAAAATTGTTAACTCCTAA